CACACGATAATTTCAATAGCAACCACGTGCGTACAATTGACAAACTCACATAGGTTATGTTTACTACTTAAGAACAGCTGATGAGAGGGGTGTTATGTAAACAAACATGTGTACCAACTGTTGGTGATGAAATATTTCATTTGTTGAAAACTCAATATACATATATATAATATAATGATACTATATCTTGAAAACAAGAGCTAATATATAATTTTTATGGTCACTTTCGGTTTTAACACGTGGAAATACATTAAAATCATCTAATTTCAACCCCGAAACAAAAACTTTGTTGTGTTGTGATTCGTCTGTCTCCACTTATTGTGCATTATGTTTCCTCAATACTATCCCTATATGAAACAAGAACTACTATTATTCCTGTTCATTGTGCAACATTCTTCTTGATTTTTCAGGAACCAGTATTGATCAAGGAATTATCGAGAATTTCAAATGATAATGGAATGCTCCTTGTATACAGAAAGCTGTAATAGGTTTTTTGGGAGAGATACGTTTTGGCTTTCTAGTTTTCTATCTTGTAACGGAAACAAATGTGGAAATTATTCGAAAAAGGAAGGAAGCAATCAATTTTTTTCTCAAATTCCTACATTTTTTTGTATCAAGATAACGAAGTAGGAAGCCTAAACCTTTCTTTCACAAAAGTCAACCTCTTCTAAAAATATATTTCTTCCAATTTAAACTGTAATGAGTATTTACAATGGCAGTTTTTATGAGTGTTTTTTCGCTGACCATTCCGTGAATTACATTCATCATAGTATTCTTAGGAGTTTAAACATTTTTCATGATTCCTAGACTAACTGCAAACAATATTAGTTGAAACCTGAGAGAACTGAGAGGATATTCTCCAATTTGAATTCAGAAGTTTTGATATACTCCTGAGTATAGTGAAATATAAATGAGTTCTAACAACCTGTTTATTATGTATTCAACGAAAGTCATTTTTGTGGAGAAAAAAATCTGTTTTTCATCGACCTTTTTTGGGTAATTGTTACCTTCCACAATCTGAAAAATATAAAAATTATAATGGAGAATTTTATCCAAGTGTAGAAGGGCAAACTTTTTAGTTTACCCCGATAAGTTACTGCGTAAAAATCAAAGTATTTTTCACAAAGAAAAATCTTCTATTTATCAGTAACTTGTCGTATTTAACAATTTTGCCTATCAAAAAAATTATTAAGAAATAATACTTATCTTTTACGTTTCGGAGGCCAAAATCTGCCTCCGTCTTCAGAAATGGATAAAAATTCGAATATATACGCAGTTATTCCTTTTTTGAGAGCTTATTTCTTTACTTCTTCGACAGATGTCAAAGAAGTTTTGAAATATGAAATTATGTCAATGTTGTTGATTGACAACTGAAATATTCGATGTAATACAAGGTACTCTCCGATATCAGTTTGTTGCCATTTCGCCACTATCCAAAGTTTTCTTCAAGATGGGTAGCCAAGTACGGTCTATTTCTACGGAGCTATTCGAGATACAATTCTCTCCAGACATGAGAATACACGCTGATTCTTTTAGCTTACGTCTCTTAGAATGAGGCTCATTGGTAATCTTTCTTGTCCTATTCCATTTCACTAGATGTTCACCGTTTGATTTTAAAATGTGTTCTTATAATTTTGATCCTGTCAATTGTCTATTTTTTATATAATATCGATGTTCATTCTAAGGCACTTTCAATGGTCTTGAGATTTCACCAATGTAACTTTTACCACAAGAACAAGGTATTTCATAAATACAATTTTTCGTTTTTTCTTCAGTGTTGCTGGGTTTTGTATGTGTGAGTATAGATCTCAGTATAGATTTCCAATTCGTCTGATTTTTTCAGATAGTCTTGGAATGTAAGGTATAAAGTTGTGAATGGTGTCGGTGGATGTTGAGTCGGTAATTGTTCAGTTGGATATTGTTGAATTTGTGAAGCTGTTTGTATGTTCGTTTGGTTTTCAATTGACTCTTTATTTTCTATTGCATTTATCGTTGAATTTATGAAAGAATCTGAATAAGCATTATCTTTCAAAACAGATTTAATTAATGATATTTCTTTAATGAGATTTGTCGTGAATAAACAAATGATATTTGAAAAATGAAAACAATCAATATTGTCTCAATATTTTCAAGTGGATGAAGAAATATATTTTAAGGCGTTCATTTGATCAGTCTTCCGTTTGGGTGATCAATGAGCATAATGAAAGATATAAGATGGAGTTTTCTCGGACATGAAGCTCATGTTGACTAGTATTTATTTCCCAACCACTCAGGATGTTTCAGAAACAGCGTCGGCTGTTGACTTCGATATATTTTTCTTAACTATCCTCTTTTCTGATTCATGGAGATATGATCGTAATGTCTCAAAATTTATATTATATAAAATGTGATATGTTTAGGAGAGATTGGTGTTTTCTAAAGGAAGCTTCGAAACAAAACACCTTCCTTTATTTCCTGATCAATACCGTTTTAGGTTACTTCACGAGGCGAAGCACTCCTTTCATTATATTACAACTTAATGTCACGGTGACAGTACGTATGAACATTCGATCGTTTAGGTAATTTCATCCCAACCAAAGAAATATAATTCAAATTAGAAAGGAAATATTTTAGGAGGTATACATATTTTGAGAAAAAACCTTTTCACTCCTTTGTCACCAAATAAAAAACATGTAAAACAATCAACAGTAATTCGATAGATTTCCATTCAAGTGGAATTTCATATCATTATTTTTTTATATATTGAGTTATGAAGCGTTGCTGTATCACTTTCAATTCCATAACGAACTTTTCAAATACTGACTGAATGAGAAAAAGTGATTTTCATGTGAATCAATGTCCATATGTTTGAGAGTATTTGTTTCAGACAAACTTTTTTCCAGTTTGTATCAGAAAAAAAACACTACTGTGCTCGATTCACATATCTTTATTGTTGTTATTTCCTTTCTTTCTCTTTTTGAAAATTTTCCACATTTTTTGTTTGATATTAGAGAAGTAGAAAGCCAAAAAGCTCTCGCTCAAAAAACTATTCATTACTAAAAATATTTCTATTCCACTTTAGGTAAAATGACTATGATTGAGATTGGATTGATCAAATGTACGAATGTTTATACGAACTGTCATCGTGATAAAAGTAGAATTGTCTCTTCCGGAGACTGGAAGTCGTAATGTTGTGAAATAAATGAGTGATTGGTATTGTGAAATCATCTGAAACGATGCTGATTCGGAAATATGAAGAAAAGTTTTTCATCCTGTAACTTCGAAGTACACTAGGAATTTGATAGATTCGTATGTGGATGAAATTTTATATCGATAGTATTTCATATTCCATCATATTGTGTAGATTTCCTGTGAATAATATCTGTTTCAGTTCCATTGGGAATGGGAATGATTGGAGTATTAACTGAATGAGAAAATAAGATTTCCTTGTTAGTCAATGTTCATATGTTTGACAGAGAGTTTTCGTTTCAGAGGAACTTTTCCTTCCAGTTTTTATTTGGAAGATACCTTTGTGCATGATTTACATATCTTTTTGAAGTGATTTTATTGTTGTTATTTTTTCTTCTCTTCTTCAAAAGTTGTCCACATTTTCACTTCAATGATAAAGAAGTAGAACAACATAAGCTTCTTCAAAAATCATTGATTTATATTTTGTATATTCTCTGAAGTGGAGTGACTATTTTTTAATTATCTTCTCATTGATAGGTCATCTTTGAGAATTTTCCATGAATTTATATTCTTCAGAATACAAGTCTCAGAAATCTGAGTGAGTCGAAGCAGCAACATGTGATCGGAGAATTCCATTAGTTTTAAGTGTTGCAAGAAAGATTTTATTCATTATATTTGTACAAAGTGCTCCAATATTTTCCATAAGAGTTGTCTTGCAATCCTTGAGAATTTTCCATGAATTTATATTCTTCAGAATACAAGTCTTAGTGAATCAAATATATGAATTTGAGATGTTTAGGTGAATTGAGTATGGTAAATATTCATGAACATTTCTAATTCACTACCCTCTATGTTTTTTAATTAATTTTTTCATTTGCAGATGCATTCAACCGATAATTCTTTCCATTCTGATATCACTTTTCACAGGGGTTAAAGAGGAAAATACACAATTGAAAATGTACCTGTCTAGTGCAGCTTTGGTGGGTAGTACCACTTTTCTCACTTTCATTATGCATCACACTAACTTTGGATTGGCAACCGTCGGGATGAGGATCAGGGTAGCTGTGTCCTCAATGGTTTACAGAAAGGTATGCCTTTTATAACTGCAAGTCCTCAAATTTTTATATATTGTTGATCAGGTGGTATTCCACTGCGTGAATGTAAAAATAGAACAAGAATTCAGTTACTTTTTTTTAATCTAATGGGATAGAAAATCGAGAGCTTGGCAACAAAAGTTATTAAAAATTTTGCTATTGACCTTAAGGGTGAATTACTTTCGCATCAGTTATTATTTTCAATTTTGTTTGTATCAAAGTTTTCTGTCAGATCATAAAAAACCTTTCCACACGTAGGCTCAATGTAAAATTCACTGTATATCCATTGACTAGGTAAATGGTAGATGCTGGTTCCACCCGGCATCGCCTGGTCAGATACCATTGCAACGGCTCAGGCAGCATGAAGTTACATTCTGGCTAACATTTTGTTGCTGTGCCGGCTGTTTCCGGTTTCAAGGGTGGGACTAGTAGAAAATATTGCATGACGGCAAAATACTCCGGAGGTGAAATAGCTTCCCAATCGGATCTCCAGGTTGAAGCTGATTCCAGGACTTCATCCTGCAAAAGTAATTCGAAAACCACTATTTTTGACAGTCAGCATGGGGTAATAGCATGATAACTGCAGTTGCTAAGAGGCCCACTAGCAATTTCAAAATCGATATCTGCAACATCAGAGGACTGAACTCAAATATAAATTCAATGCACCAACATCTGCAAACAAATAGTCCTCATATTCTAGTACTCACAGAAACCACAATATCGAATGGCTCCAATTTTTAAATATCAATGACGAACAAGGTCGAAAACCTGAGGATTTTGCAATAAGTAGCAGACTTACTGCTATTATAAATGTGACAAGGATTTGCTAGGTTTCTGGATTTATACCTAACAACCAATCCAGAAATTCACACAGTCACTGTAGGATCTTCGTTGGGGTCTTTTGATCACAAAATTGTTTCAGTGTTGAATGAATTACCGATAAATCTTGGAAAACAATATAAACCGCGCAAAGTTTGGCATTACAGATCTGCTGATTGGAAGGATCTTCAGGACCATTTCCGAAATTTTCCCTGGCTAGATGTTTGTTTCAGCTCTAATCATCCATCAACATATGCCTTCGAAGTCACGGAAGTTATTCTATCATCCATAGATACATATATTTCTCCTCCAATAAAACAACTTCTAACGGCAAATCTTGGTTCAACAAAGATTGCGAGGAAGCTATCGCCTTCAAAAATCACGCCTATCGATAGTGGCATGATTTTTAAAAATCCCAGTACCGAAATACCAACAAGGTCTGTTAATTCTCGCAACAGCTGCAAATGAAAGCAAATTATGTTACGATCAGAAAATTAGAGATAAACTGTTTGTCAATCCCAAAGGGTCTAAATTCTTCTGGTCGATAGCTAAAGCTTTTATTCAGAACTTCACAAAATCTACAATTCCACCTCTGATGCATGCGGATGATTCCATTACAGCAACAGCCATAGAAAAAGCAAATCTACTAGCTGAGCAATTTACTTCCCGCTCCACAGTCGATTTTCTGAGAAAGTCACCATCCACTATTAGAACATCGAAGAACTGTTGGAGATTTCTGTCGCTTTTATAGATACGTTCACGGGAGGTGTACAATTGACTCGGCACATTTGATTTCACCAAGAGCGGCACATATCAGAAATAAGCGACGGACTGTTTGCTCGTTGTTCTAGGGTTCAATTTAGTATACTTTGAACTTCACTCCTTGAGAACTCTCTCATTTGGAATACTGCGTTCATGTGAAATGAACTTCATGAGAACGTTTTTCGAAATGAATTTATTCTCCAACGATTCAAATCCAACGTGAATCGCTACGTTCGCACAGGCACCCTCTTGGAGCTCCTGAAAGATCTTCCTGTAGTGCTTATGTTTTCTCCTTAAAATGAAAATAAACCTGCTTGGAATTTTTTTTCAATCAATACTTTCATATATTTCATTTTCAGATAACGAGACTGAATATAAAGTCACTAGGTGAGACAGATTCAGGAAAACTAGTGAATTTACTCTCCAATGACGTCAGCCGATTTGACTATGTTGTTCTATTATTACATGCTCTGTGGGTCTTACCCTTTCAAGTGACTTTAATCACATTTCTCCTTTGGCAGCAAGTTCAAATTTCTGCCTTGGTAGGAATAATGACAATGGCTGTTGTGGGTTTACCCCTTCAAGGTGAGTGAACTGAATTGAATATAATCAACATACCACTTGAATTTCTTCAGATGCTTGAAAACATCTGAAGTATTTATAAAAAAATACGATTATTGAAAAAATTACATTGAATGAAGGATTTCAAGATTTCAAACCAAGTTATGTCACGATTGATAACTCGGGTGATAACTGTTATTGTGAATACTAACAATCGAAACGTCGTGACATAACTTAGTTTATTTTTGACCGGGATATTATAAGCTTATATCGTCATAGTTACGCTATCAATAAAGAGGGTCATAACTCCCTTGGGACATTATAGATTTTATAATTCCCTCTACCTTTCACAAGTAAAAATAAATAGAAATGAAAACTGAACCATATTTTATTTATTCACGTCATTACAAATAATAAATGTACAATTTTGAAATGTTCCCTGAAAATTACTTCCGCCACTGGAAACAATTTCTTCTTTTGTATGGCTGGAGCTTCTGTTCACTACAGTCGAGGTACCTGCCTCTTCTGATGACAAAGTAGACAACATACGC